TGCACCAATAAGGGGCTGACCATTTAGCTTTTGAAGGGGGGGGGGGATTTTGAAAAAGAATTCCTGCAAGGCTATTCTGAACAAAAAAATACCTGCACTAACAAACTGGGGGAAAAAATATCCTGCCCCAGTATTTGGTGGGGGAAAAAATGTTGCAAAACAGTCCCAGAAGATCAGCTGGTGTTTGATTTTCAGGAACTAATGTAAGGTTAATTTCGTGTTGGAAAACTCCTCATAATGCTGGAAATAGCTTATCTGAGCTTCAAGAAATCCAAAATCCTCCCCAGACCCCTCTAGAGGCTGGCACCTTCGATTGTCGACTCGGTTGCCTCAAAATCCTAGTTAAAGCCTGATTTTCTGCCCTATGATGTATACTTATTAGTTAAACCATGCATATATATGCTGGTAGCTGCAGTGATACAGGCCGATACAGACTTGCTGACTGGAACTTCTCCAGGTCCCCCACTAAATATGTCCTCTCCAGTTACACAACCTTAAAAGAGGCCCTGAACCAACTGTTATACCTCATAGCAATATGTATTATTAAAAGCAATGCATGAAGCTAGAAAACTCAACGTTAACTATAATTAAAGAATCTAAATAGTATAACCTATTGAAAAAAAATGTTGCGAAAAGAGAGTGGCAAAAAAATCGTACATGGTGATGGGTAGGAAAAAAATATCTTGCACATAACAATCCCAGAAAAAAATTCCCTGCTAGCAGTAAATCACCCCCCAAGTGGGAGTGCCCCCAAAATAATATCCGAAAGAACTTTGATAGCGGAATGTAGCCTCATTTGCAGGCAACCATGTTCTATCCCCTTTGTTGGCTTTGTATTGTACCACTGCTCTCAGCTGGTTCCAAAATTTCCTATCCGTATCGTTCCCCTCCATCCTTAAGTTTCGACTCTCAATTTTTATTTTTATAGGAAGTAGCAACAGTAACAGTAATAAATGGGTTTATTTTATTAGCACGAGTTTACATACAATTATTCCTTATTAGTTGGTATAAATATTTTGCAGGTTGGAATTTTGCAGGTTGGGGATTTTGCAGGTTGGAATTTTGCAGGTTGACAGGAATTTTGCAGGTTGATGATGCAAACTGAAAATTACACTACTATAAAGTATTCTAGTATAATTTTATTGTGTACTTATTGCAGTCTGACTCCTTGTTGCCGCTTTTGATATCAGCCTATCCTGCTACCATGTTTCTAGCCTCTGCTCATCACCCTTGTGAAAACATTCAAAATGACCAGATTGGCTTGGATCTTCAGGGGGACAAATGTTTCGATTGTTGCGAGGAGCCTACATGACGTGGTGGCAGTTCAGAAAATGCCTGAATGAGGTGTCTCTCCTCTGCACCCACTTATGAGACCACTCAAGCCCCCTGATTACCGTATCATTATTACTCGAGAGTTAGTTAACTTTTAACAGCATTCTAGTATAAACGCCGCCACATCATGTAGGCACCTCGCAACAATCAAAACATTCGTCTCCCTGTAGGTCCAAGCCAATCTGGTCATTTTGAATGTTTTCACAGGGGTGATGGCCACTAGCCTTAGAGCAGAGGCGCCGACAAGGAGTCAGACTGCAATAAATGCACAACTAAATTATACTAGAATACTAAAAAAGTGGTGTAATTTTAAGTTTGCATTATCGACCTGCAAAGTTCCTGGCAACCTGCAAAATTCCAACCTGCAAAATCCCCAACCTGCAAAATTCCAACCTGCAAAATTCGCAACCTGCAAAATTCCAACCTGCAACCTGCGTTTTGTACCTGCCGCCCTTAAGCCAGTTTTCCACTTCGCCCGTATCGTACCGAAACGTACTGGTGAGCATGCGCAGATTGAAAAGAGGTTTATAAATCCACGTACTTCCGGGTGTATTCGCGTATCAAAATAAAAAGTTTGTCGCAAGTCAACTTTTTGGCGTACTACGAACACAAAAGCTGTGAAGCTAGCGAACACAAAAGCTGTGAGTTTACTGGGGAGGGTTGGGGAGCATGCTCTCCTGGGAAATTTTGAAATCTGAGACCTCCCAGATCCCTGGAAATGCAATCAAGTTTACTAGTTGCTGTTAAAAAGTTTCTTAATAAACAACTCTTAATAGATTTAATACTCAATACTTGGCTATATAAGTTATAAATATATTGTTATCTAAACAATAACAATATATTGTGATCTGAACGATTTCAGTATTCTTAGTTAATAAAACATATGTATGGAACATCATTGTGGGAGAGGGGGGCTAAAGCCCCCCAACCCCCTATCTAAACAATAACAATATATTGTGATCTGAACGATTTCAGTATTCTTAGTTTATAAAACATATGTATGGAACATCATTGTGGGAGAGGGGGGCTAAAGCCCCACAGCACCCCCCCCCCCAACCCCAACCCCCCGCTCCACTGTCTCTGTATATGTGTGGCAATATTATTATTTATAACTAAATATTATCGGGCTGTACTATTTTTAATTAAGATATTTTCACTTTAATTATTTCACAATATTTTAAAAATATAAATATAAAATGTAAACAATAAAACATTTAATATATAAATATATATTTAATATAAATATATACATACCAATTCAGTGGTAGCCATATATTTTTATACAGTTTTTACAACCATTAATATTTTATCACGTCGGACACGTCCACAGCAAGTATTGGTCAGAGACATTGAATCTAATATCAAACTTACATTCTAATTACCAATTGTGCTTATATTTTTCGTTATATTTTATTTTGTGTGTTATTTTTAATATCATGTATAATTTTGAAGAAATTCAAGAAAGCTAAAAGCGTTTTGAGATTTGAGCCAGCGGTATTGTAACATTTGCGCGCGCGGTATAAAACAAACAATAAGTATGTACTTCATCTTAGCACTCTTTACAGTGCGTCTAGCCGTCCACTGTAAAGAGGGTCCTGAAGGGGTAAAATGGGAACTGGGATTGATCTATTTTTAGACTGGGAAAATGGGATTTGGGTTGCTGGGACTGGGATTTGGCCACTGGGAATGGGAAATGAAGTCCTCAAAAATGGGAATGGATTGAGGTAGTGCGAGTCGATTCCCAATTTTTCTGCGTTTCTCATGAGTATTTTAAAATACAATTTTGATCCGTTTTTGGTGTCTTTGGTCATGATTTTTGTTGTTAACTATATTATTCACAGCACTAGCTGCAAACAGGCATACTCTGGCGCCCGGAATTCTGGGTTTTCTGATTATGCGTCTCAGAATGCTGCAAATGCCATTTCCGGTATTCAAATTTAAAACCGTGTCCGCCACTTGCTTAAAAGGTCTTAAAACTGTTTATTCTACCGATAAATAAAGGGGTTTTATTGACTGGGATTTCAATAACTGGGACTGGGATTTCTAATAAAAATCCAACTGGGACTGGGATTTTGCCAAAACTTCAGGTGGGAAATGGGATTGGGACCCCCCCTTCAGGACCCTCTGTAAAGAGGGGGCACTATTATAGGGGGCCGACCATTTAACTTTTGAGGGGGGGGGGGTGTGATTTACTGCTGGCACTGGGACCGTTATGTGCAAGTTGTTTTTTTCTGTCCCAACACCATTTACGAATTTTTTTGGCCACTCTCTTTCGCAGCATTTTTATTTCAATAGCTTGTACTATTTAGATTCTTTATTAATTATATACTTAACGTTGAGTTTTCTAGCTTCATGCATTGCTTGGCCTCTTTTAAGGTGGCTCCCTACAGTTTAAGCAATAATTCCGTAAAACAGGCTTACTCGTGCAGAACGCGGATTCTTTTCGACTTGGTGGCAATATTGGTCACCTAAGGAATATTTCGAACTAGATTTCGACAACGTCAATGTTCCCATGGCAACATGACGACAGCATAAAGGCTTCCAATTTAACCCATAAATGTGCCGCTATCTCAAAAACGATGTCGGTGACCTATCTTTTTTATTTCATATATCAATAGGGAATGACGCTCTGCAACTGTGGCGAAATTTCCACACTAAAGATTTTTTAAAAATTGAAATTTATAAAATTTAGCGCAAAATAAATTCGTGGTCAAAATTTGAAGATAGGTCAGCGATGAAACTAATGAGTAAAATGCAAATAAAGTTAGAAAATAGCCTCGTGTAACTCGAGAAATTCCCCTTATTGAAAAGCGTCGCTGACTAGTAAAAGATTGTACGCGGGCGCAGAACAAGTTTTCATTCAGGGCCATTCCATTTAAAATCCCCCCCCCCCCACCCCTACGCATGAGGTCAGTAAAATTTTAACCCCTAAGAAAAAAAAGATCAAAGTGCCGACACAAAACACCCCTCAGAAATTTGTAAATTTTCCCCTTACCCCTCAGAAAAATAGCAGAGATCAAAGGATGCCGACAGGCTTAACCCCTCAGAAACGACTTTTTGAGTCACCCTTCTGAAAAACTCATCCGTAGGGGAGGGGGGGGGGGG